GATCACCAAACGGCAGAGCTTCGTGAACAATTGAATGGCAGCGGTCCAATCACAAGACCTGCTGCAGAGTGTCGCGTGACCAGTGTGCAAGGCGGATGAACGCGTTCAGGGTGAATCTCAAGATCACGCAGCGTCCACATTGCACACCTCGAGGTCCGACTGTATCGACGATTCATGTCAGTGAAGGGTCCGCGATGATGAAGTGAATGGGACAATCCTGGGATAAAGAAACGACGGAGCTGCACGCACTTGACCCTCATCTATGAATGTGGTATTGTGCAAGGCGCCAGTTTGACCCGTTCGTGCAAGCAATATGGGCGGCACGACAGTCTTGAGTCTGGATCAGTGCCAAACGTGCACTTGGCCAGATCCGTCCGAAGCAGTGGGCAGCACCTCAACTCTGGTCTTGAGCGCACGAGACACGGCTCCATCGACGCACACAATAGCCGCATTGCTATCATCGGGAGCCTGGGAGTGAGAAGGTGAATGTGAATGGAGGTCGAGGCACGTGTCAGCACTTTGTACCCCTTGCAAAGCAATCACAAGAGACGCTCACTGCCGTCCATTCGTACCCTCCAACCCTATAATATTCGAACGCTACCTCTCCCTTCCCAGCCTCTTCCAGCTTCGTCTCGGACGCGCCCTCGAGCGGATAAGTAAGATCCACATGCTTTCCGCCAGAATACATTCCAGCGGTCAACTCCGACAAAGTAGTCTTTGCGAACAATGTCGGTGCGTCGTCTTCTTCGTCTCGTACTTCGTCTTGGGCTTGTCGATACTTAGCAAGTACGGCGGGAGAGCGCAAAGGTCGGACGATCAGAAGATCCAATTCGTCCGCTCGACGAGCTAGGTGTGCCGATTCGACGTTCTCTTGCGGTAAGAAGGAGCCAAACGGAGCAGGAATGAATGAAGGTTCCAGCCTATCCGTGCTGAGAGCCGCGATATAGCTAAAAGGTCCTTGCAATTTCTTCTCCTTCTCATCCACCTCTCTAAATTGCCTCGAGCGAGGATTATACACTTTGACTTTGCCCGAAGTGCTTGCGGGATAGAGCTGCAGCGAGCCTCGATGCCAGATGGTAGAATTTTGAGCAGCTGCGATCTTGAACCTCTCGATGGATGGATCTTGCGCTCTCAAAGCTTCCGAATCGCGTAGGATGCAAGCATGCAGTGCGTGAGAAGTAACTATATGCGCAAGGCTATAGGCATTCAGCCTTGACGAAACGCCCTCTGATGTGCCAGAAGGCTGTTGGGCGTCGTCGGTGATGTGCACCGCACTCAAAGTCAACGGAAGTAAAGAGCTGGAAACATCATGCGACTGCGACTGCGACTGCGACTGCAACTGCGACTTGCGGGACTTTGCGAGAATGTAAGATGAGAGACTGTGAAGCCTCCATCTGTCCTCTTTGGCTGTGGCGGAATCACCGTCGGAAGATGTCGCATCGCGGTCAGAAGGATAGAGGGCAGCGTACAAAGCGTTGCTGGTTCCTGTAGGGACAATGATCAGTCGAATGGGGATCGAAGGCGCTTTCCATCGCAAGCTTGACGCGGCAGCATCCTGTTCCACATCGTTTCGCCTGTCTTTAGGTCTAGCGGCTGGCGGAATGTACAGGCCATTCAGAATCTCGGACGTTGTCCCATCGCCTCCCAGAAGGATGACATCCAGCCCGTGCGGAATTGTACCACCATATTCTTCCTGTCTGGCGTTCTGCGTCTCGCTTAGAAGTCGGGCTGCTATAGCCGTAGCATCGCCCTGACTTGCTGTGACGTGCACCTGAGCATCAAGGTTGGCGCTCTTGAGAAGAGGCAGGACTTGCTGATCCAACAGCCTTTCCGATGTCCCAGGCGCACCCGAAGCTGGATTGCGAATGATGTGAACCTTTTCTAAAGACATGATGCGATGAGCGAAGGACGTCGAGGCAACCTACCACTCAGAGATGATGGGCGGGGTGAGAGGTGCGGCTACGATGCCATATATGCGTCGAGGACCTCGATGTATTGCCTATAAAGCTCGACGCGCGACTCAACTTGTGACCCACACTCTGACTCACTTGTGTGACTGGTGACCAAGACCGGCGTAAGCTTATAGGAAGCACAATTACGAATCGTGAATGGCGTGCTGCGCGTGATGCGCCCACGAATGCAATGCGAACACCGCAGAGGCATATCGCGGGAAGCTTTGTGTGGCGGTGCAAAATGCGCAGCAGGCGACCAATGCACGCAGGGAAACGCGTCAGATGGGGAACGCATGGTCTTGCACTCACAACTCACAACTCACAACTCACAACTCACAACTC